GATGCATGTAGTTGCTATGTGCATTTTTAAATTGTGCATTTTTATATCCTTACTTTAAAAAACAATACAGAGCTTGTTTCTAAGCTGTGAAAATGTGGGCCAATCCCATAAATACGTTTGAATTTCTTTTTACAGGTTCATATGTTCACATCCTCACCCCAGTTACAGCACAGACTTACTGTTCTGTAGGCCTTTAACTATAGGTTAAAGGTTTAACTATAACCGTGCAGTTACTAAAGCCCAGGGGCTTAGGCCATGAGCTTGAGAGGCAGAATGTAAAGTCCCACTGCCACTTCCTAGCTTTATGTGGAAGTTGTGAAATCTCTCTGAGCCTTAATTTTCTCATCAGTAAAATGGAGATGATAATAGTGTTTATTTCACATGGTTTTGCAAGAGCTGCGTGAGGCATTTTGTGCAAATCCTAAGAACCGTGCCTGACATCTGTTGTCAATTACTTACTGCTCCAAAACACAGTGTTCATAAGATTTTCTCTGCTAAAATATCCCACTAGGCTTTCATATGACTTTTCTAAGTACTTGTTCCTATTCCAGTGCAAGAAAACATGCCAGGGATAAAAAATCCTATCAAAATTTTTATAGTATTGGGAGCCAATATGCACCTTATTTCAGGAGCCTATGAGGTCACAGTGTCCTTTCATGCCAAATTCCAACAGTCTAAACCCTTGTTCTATTTGCCTTCAAAAAGCTTAATCTTTTTCCCAGGTATCCAAGCATTTTCAGGACTCCTTGGAGAATTTTTTTTTTCTTTTTGATGCTAGCGATCAAACCCAGGGCCTCACATATATTAAGTACACGCTGCGGCATTGAGCTACACCCCCACTCCTGGAAAATTTTTATTCAGGACATCTCCATTCTTGACCCTTACCTTGCCACATATTATAGGGGTTAATTTATCTTCACAAAATGAGTTTCATGGAGCATTTTCCTCTCCCTAGAGTCCAAGCCCCTTCTGAGGGTCCCCAGAAAAGGGGCAGTTTTCTTCTCATCCCAGCCTGAAGCCCTAGCTGGATTTCTTCTTGGGAGGACATTTCTCTGTGGGAAGGATCACTTCCTCCATGGCAAACCCCACTCCCTCCAGGGAGCCTTCCCCAGACAACAGACAGCACCCACTTTCTGCTGTGCCTACTTACCTTCCCCATCTAGAAGGAAGCAGGGCCTCTAGAAAGGAAGAGTGATTCCGCATCTGTGGCAGAAAATATACCAGGTGAGCCCAGGGTGTATTTTTATGCCATGAAGTAAGGAGGGCAGACTAATGAATACGTCAAATGACACCAGGGGCCAATAAGAAAGGGCCCCCACAGGCTAAAGAGGAGATTCACTGAGTATCTAAACAGGTAAGTACAGATGACCGAAACATTGTGTACATTAAATAAAAACAGGTCATAGTGTACATTTTGAAAAAGTAAAAGAAAGCAAATGACAATCGCCAAAATAGCTTCATCGGACGCTATTGAAATGCCAAGTCTTTGTTCCAAAAATTGACATTCACAGGAAAGGAGTAAACATTTAGCCTTCTCTCTTATACAAAATATATTGCATGGAATTGAAATTGCCCTAATTGATAAAGAAAAATTATGATTATGATTATTTGTAGTGCCAGGGATCAAACTGAGGGCCCTGCATATGTTCAGCAAGTGCTCTACCACTGAGCTACATTCCCAGCTCCAAAATTATTTTTTACACAAAAATTGCAGCTCAGAAATGCAAAAAGACAGAAACAATCAAAGCATCATGTTGCAACCCCAACGGAATAACCAGTTCACATAATTAGTAAGAGGTGGAGCCATTAGACTAAAGGTTGATGAGGAACTGTACAGTTGAGGAGATGGGGCCGTCACGTCCTGATTCATTGCAGCTCACTCAGAATGAAACACCGAGACACTGTGTGCTTCCTGACTAAATGCAGCATCACACTGGAGGATTACTGTGCCTCAGAGCTGAACTTGAATCTAACCCAGACTTGAGAACTAAATTTCACTTAAAGGGAAGTAATAATAAATGCAATAACACTGCAAGGCAAATCCATCTTGCGAGACAGGGCAGGTGGCCAGTTCTGACAGGTCAGTAGCACAAGGGAGAAAGGACAGAGAGTGAAACTATCTGTAAGACAGCCAAGAGACCTAAAACCCAATACAATGGCTGAGTCACAGTTTGGGTCCTGGTTCAAACAAACTGAGAAAGGAGAGCTACAAAGACAGAGACGGGCTGGGGATATAGCTCAGTGGCATAAGACCTTGCCTGGCAAGCCTGAGGTCAGGAGTTTGATTCCTGGTACCAAAAAAAAAAAAAAAAAAAGACAGGAAGACCAGAAAGGCAAAAAAGAGTGACAAAATCTATCTAATTATGGATTGTGGGTGACAGATGAATGAAATAAAATAAAAAATGGAGTAAATGTGAAACCCGTGTGCCAAGATCTTGATAACTGTTGAAACTGGTAATGGCTACACGAAGTTCCTTTGTATTTATCTCTGTTTTGAGTAGGTATAAAAACTTTCATAGCATTTAAAGCTAACAAAGAAGACAGGCTTCTATATTGCTGATGCATGTCTTAGAGTCTGGGTTACATGGGTGCAGGTCATGCATGTGTGTGATTTCTGGGCAGACTGAGCCAAGTGCAGTAGCCCTGAGTGCTGAGCCAGACCTCACCCTCGGTGCTGCGGATTCTGTAGTCTCACCCTCAGCTCCTGCCGGCATGTACAGTACCAGTAGTCCTCATGCATCTTCCAAGGGCCAGCGGCAATTTCCTGGGAAAGTGCACCATACATTCTAATACAGAAAGCAACGGTCTCCTAAGGCACACTGCCTAGAGGAAGCTAATTTTTCCTGAAGAAAATATTCTGGAAAGAAGTTCAGTTTTGTGGCGCCTCCCCACCCCTCTAGCTCCTTCCAAAAACTGGGACTGTTCGCCATCATGACTTCATCCATACTTGTTGGGTAGGAACTGTCTGCCTTTAGGTTAAGTCAAGCTACTACTTTTTTTGTTGTGCAGAATACGCACCAAAAAATTTTAGCATTTTAACTATTTTTAAATGCACAGTGCAGTATCCTTAAGTATACTCATATTGCTGTGCAGTCTCTAGAAATGTCTAAAATTTTATAAAATTACAACTCGGTGACCATTCTCCCCTCCCCCCATGACAACTGTCATTCTAGGACCACTCTCTGTCTGACTTGGCTGAGTCAAGGTACCGCATATACGTGGACTCATGTAGCATTTGTCCTTTATTTCTAGCTGTTTTACTTAAAATAATGTCTTCAAGGTCTGTCCATATTGGACTATGTATCAAATTTCCTCTATTTTGGGGTTGGGGGTGTAGCTCAGTGGTGAGGCGTGTGCCTAGCATGTTCAAGCCCCTGGGTTTCATCCCCAGCACTGGAAAAAAAAAAAATCCTTCCTTTTAAGGCTAAATAATATTTCATTGCACATATATTCCACATTTTTTTATATGCATGTGTGTATCAGTGGACCCTTGAGTTGCTCCCACCTGCTGCCCCTTGTGAATGACACTGTGAACGTGGGTGGATCTAGCCACTCCTTGTTAAAATATAATTTCCCCCCCGGTGATTCAAAAGTTTCACAACTAGCCGTCAGGCCCTGTCTCAAGGTGCCCTGTCTCTCCCTCAGGTCTGCCCAATCTCACTGCCTAGGACCCTGAGCCTTGCTGGGAAGAGAGAATTCAGTTCTTCCCAACATCCCAGAGCCCACAGGCAGGTGAGCCCTGCCTTCCCCCTAGTACGCTTTCTTTTAAAAAGGTAAAAATGAAACATATTGGTAAGAGACTAAAAAAGGTAGAAATTTGCTATGTGAACAGTTTGTGTTTCCCAAGTTACATTCCGGACATACATTTGCTTTGTTTTTTGATAAAAGTTTACATTTTCCTGCACCCTCTACCACATAGTACCTTTCCAGACAGTGGGAAAGTTTAAAAACTCTGGGGTGTGTCCTATTTCCATACTGTTACAGTCAGGCTACGGTGGATATTCTTATGCATACACCCTTGCATAGTATTGTAGGTCAGAAATGAAAATGTTGGATCTAAATATGTGGATACTTAAAAAATTAATAGCTCTAGACAAATTGCCTGCCTAAAGGATTATGCTGACTTTATCTGTTAGTTTTAAGGAAAGATTTGTGCTTATTCTTTTAAGATTAGGGTAAATATTTTACTTTATTCTTATTGGATGACTAAATATTTTTGGACTTCTTACAAGCGCACGCTTGTAAATCTACATAGACTGTACTACTTAATTAAAATCTGCCTGGAAGATCTCAGTTAAGTTACTAAAATCACCTAATTTTCTGGTCTGTGTAGCGCCTTTGACAAAACGTAATTGTGTATTTCTGCTAATAATAAATTTCAGGATTTCTTCTCTGCGGTATCAGTACATATAAAATTAATCTTGTAAATAGTCATATAAATATATGTATTTTTAAATACCGAGTATCTTTTAGGGAAAAATTTTCGCTCCTTTTCCCCTTCCCTTTTTAATCTTTGGCTTTCAAAGGTTACACACTGCTTACAATGATCAAGTCTTCTGAAGCTTTTGTACCCATTTGCCTGGGAGGAATACCTATCCCGAGCCTCAGTTTTAATTACTTAAACCACCCTGGTGGGTATGTCGGCCAAGGCAAGCGATTTCACAGTTTTACATTCAAAATAAATGTAAAGATTTCATCAGCTATGGCAAAAAAAAAAAAAAAAATTGTGGTATTCAAATTTTAAAAAGAGCAGCTCTGCTCCTTGACAACAAATGCTCCTAACAGGAGTTTCAGGGAAGGAGAGGCCGTATCTACCATGTCTATAAGTATTTTTACTTCTTCAAAAGGCAGAAAGGAGGATGAGCGCAGAGGGGAGCGCCCTTGGTCCCGGTAGCAGCGCTCCTTTTGTGTGCGTCCTGCGTCCTCTCCAGGCGTGTCTTCGTGGTGCACAGGCGCACCCTGGGAGTGGCTGCCGGCTCAGAGCAGGCTGGCTGTCCTCTTGGAGCGGTGGCATTGGAAAAGGCTCTGTTGTTATAGACGATTGATTTGCCTCATTCTGAGGATTCCAGGGCAAAGTGGCCCTCCCCCCTGCCTGGCGCCCGCCCTCTCTCCCTCCCTCGAGCAGCAGGATCTGAACGCTGCTGCTGGGCCCTCCTCCTCCTCCTCCTCTCATTCCTCCGGCTTCTGGATTTCCGAAGTTATTAGGAGAAATAAGGTAGCCGAGGGGACCACATGGAAGTTGTGACAGCTCCCCGCGGCGCGCCCCTTTCGCGTGTGCCAGCGCCTCGGCTTAGGAGTTACCGCTGACACGCTGAATGCAGGAGTTCCCCTGCCAGCCAGCCTACCGGGATGGGCCACTGCTGCTGCAAGCCTTATCACTGCCGTCAGTGCCTGGACAAGACGGTACTTTGCCTTCTCTGTCTTCTCCCCCCTCCTTCTTTGCCAGGGCAGAGAGTCCGCGCCAGCGCTAGCCAGCCACCTCTGTCCTCCTCTCCCCAGCATGCGAGCGCGCTTTGTTAGGGGCCAGGAACCTCCCTTTACTCGTCCCCGTGTGCTGAATTGGGAGCGGGGCTCACGCAAACATTTGGTCTCGCACACTCCGCAGTGGTGCCTTACATAATTCTGTATTCCTGCAGTCTCCATGGAACTGTTGCATTTGCCTGAAATAGGAGGAACATCTTGAAATCCAAACTGCGGAGAAATTCTTGGAATATTCTTGCTGCATTGTAATGTACCTGCTAAACCTAAGCACTGCGGTGGGGAATGTAGATTAGCTAAGCATGTTTTTCTCCACGAAGCTGAAACTTTGAAAGTTGACCACCCTTTTTCTTTAAAGCAGTTTTTTTTTTTTTTTAATGTATATTCCTTATGAGTGAGAAAAATCACACCCGTCTAGTTTTGCTTTCTATACTCTTGGCATCCTGAGGGGTGGATAATATAGAGGTGAAATTTTGAAAGCCAGGGAGTCTGAGTGTGTGTTTAAGTAATCACTGGCGGGAAAAATTCACAGGCAGAGACCTGAAAACAGAGTATACCGGAGAATAGTATGGCAGTTCTAAGACAAAGCCTTTCGTTGCTTCTGACACTTGCCTGCTCTGTGACTTGCAAAGGCATTAGGGTATGCTTTTAATTTCACCGCTAGGTAGCTGCTGGCAGAAACTCTTGTCTCTGTGATATATTGTGTTATCATGCACATTTGAATTTCTCAAAGATGCATGAAATGGGATTTCTCCTGGGGCTGAAACTGCCTCCTTTTTGCCCACGTGCATATCAGCTACTAGACAGCTTGAGGTAGAATATGTGACCAGGTGAAGGGAAATACATGGCTTCATTTAAAACTCATTACAATGCAGTCACTGGGGAACATCTTGGTTATCAGTTCTGCTTATGAACTTTGATGCAAAGTAGGCTAACACACCACCTGGAAATTAAACTGATACCTTGAAAGTCACTCAGTACTCTTGTCCAATACAAATAACTATTCAGTGGGTCTGGCTTTTGCTACCCTGAGTGTGAACTAAAATGTTTACATACACATTTATGTCATTTTAACAGGTAGAAATATAAAATAATTGTACTCAGTGCTTTTCAAATCCTACATGGAAGTGATGAAGCCTTTTTTCTAGAAAAGTAACCACAAAAAGGCACCAAGTGAAGCTTTATAACAATACTTACTGTAAAAAGGAAAGATAAAGCACACGTACAGAAATATTATAAAGTTTGTATTTCCTAAACTCTGGCACAAAAGTTTTAGAAATAACAGCAACAAAAAAATCGGGAGGCTGAGGCAGGAGGATCTTTGTGAGTTCGAGACCAGTCTGGGGTACAAAGTGAGCTCAAGGCCAGCCTGAACTGCATAGCGAGAGCCTGTCTCAAAAAGAATAAAAAAACAAAACAAAACAAGAAACAGAAATAGAGGCAATATGTTTAAAAGTGAATCTGTCCTCACTGTCTTTCAAATCAAGTTCCTGAAAATAACCATCCCCTGATTATTCTTGAATTCAGAGATTTTGGAAAATCATCCAATGTTGTTTCATTTCTTTAGCCCTGTGATGTTTAAGTAGCTTTCATTTATTTTAGCTTTGAAATTTTAAACTCAGTACAAATTATTCTTTACAGATGAAAACATTAAAACTTTACCTTGCATTTGTAAACTATTTCATTGTGTTTCCACCCACCTTGGAGTGGAGCTATACTCACCACTGTACCACAAATGCACCATGCCCACACATCTTGGCTTTTCTTTGCTGTAGTTCAGAATAGTATTCCCATTCAAAGTTTTGTCGATACATACTCTTGGGTGCTTTTTTGACAACTGAAGATTTTCGTTTTTGTAACATAAAAGGCATTGGTTTGTTCAGTTGCTTGCTTTTCAAGTCATATGTCAAAATCATTTATTTATTCAATAGTTAGCTATTGCACGGAGAATTGTATAGCAGGAGGGCCGCAGCAAACCATTGCAGTCTCAGACTTTAGAACTCAGTACGCCTGCAAATTCCACAAGAAAACCTTTCAGAGTCTGTCAGCTCTGAAAACCCCACCATCAACACTAGTTTGAAGGGGGGCTGGTAATACTGTCGGTAAAGTTTTTCTGATTACTTTAGCCCAACTTAATGACCCTTGTAAAATGAACACTTCCTCAGCCATACAAACAGAGAATTTTTAAATAAAACTTTATTTTGAGAAACACACACAATAATTTTTACAATTCGGTCATAGTACAGCTACACGTGGTCTAAAAAACATGGTGGAAGAATTAAAGGACTATAGGTAATCAGTTTCAGAGGTGGAGCTAAGAAATAGGAATCTGAAGGTGCTTCTTTAGCATTTATTTTTGGGAGGAACTAGAAACTTGCCTAGCGTATAAAATAAAAAACCCTTTTCATTAAATGAACAAACGGTTTTTTAGAGCTACTTGTGCTTTTGTGCTTCCAATTTACAAAACCCTATCCAATTAGCAATATTTATTTCTGGTTTATTCTGTGCCTAGTTTCTATGGTGACTGTCGAAAAGCATCTTAGAAGGCATGGATAGCTATTCTAGAGTTTACCACTTACTGGTTTGTTTGAACTTCTGCCTTTTCCAGAGAAAGTGCAAGCAGGGTAGGCAACAATAATATACATAGAACAATAAAAGTTCATAAAATATTGGAGTGTAATTAACTGAAAGTTCCATGATACTGACCATACCTGTTTCTAGAATTTGGTAAAAGGCGAAATTAGGACAGAGCCTTTGGCAAGCTTTCTTGGAAGAAGGGGAACATAAATTAAACTTTGAATAATGGATTGGAATTGTATTAAACTGAAGAGAAGAAACAGTATTACTCCGAACAGGGAGTTCAAGAGGAAGAGTGTTTTAGTGCAGTTTGATGAAATATAAGAGGACAATTTCATGGTCAGCACAGTGGGAAAAACACTACATAGGGAGTATGTAAGTTTCTAAGGTGAATGCTGGACTTTTTTTTTTTTTTCACTTGAATTCATTAAAAGGTCGGGATTTACTTTGGGCTTTTTAACTGAAATGCAATCTGTAGCAAGACTCAGCTATGGGTATTTTGAGAGCAAAGGCCTGACCTAGAAGGCCATCAGGACATTCCAATGGATCCCAAAGGATCGGTTAACCTGTGGTCTCAGCAAGGTCTAGGGTGAAGCAGTAACTCTGCAAGTACAAAAGCTCCTCATCCTTAACCTTCCAGAAGTGATCCATTTAGGAAGGTGGAGTTACGAGGAGAAAGAAACTAGATGTGTAAGCCAGAATGGTAATCTGTTTTTATCAGTGAGAACTCTGACAAGCAAACAAAGATAACAAGCCTGATGAACATGTTATATCTTTTCAGAGTTAGAAGTCTATCTCTGAGAAACTATAATGGGAATAGAATCTGGCCCTGCAAGTTCTGTTATTTAAGAATCCAGTGGCTTGAGAGCCTGACAGGTGTGTCCCATCACCCTCCCTCATCTGGCACGCACTTGGGAGGGCTCTGTGATTGTTGCTGACCCTGGGAACTGTGCTTCCTCACTCCCGTTGCTGACTAGTTCCCCTCACGACGCATGGGCTTGTCCGTTCTTGTACGTGTTAATAGACTGAGTTTGTTGCCAAGTCTTCCTGGGTTAGGTCTGATCCTGTTCTCTTAGCGGCTACTTGTATAACTCTACTCTAACCTGTTATGTGCTGATTATAATCTTAGTTATAATCAGAAGCTAATCTCATTGACTTTTTTCTCAAATTCTTGGTGAGGGTGGGAGTTGGGAGAAGTCACCTTGCTGTTCCTCTCAGGTATGTGAAGGTGCTCTGACGCTAATGCATTAGGGAAGGTGATTAAAGGAAGGTAGACATCAGCAAAGGTCAAGGAACTGCTTAAGTGCACCATAAATAAATTAAAAATCACAGTATTGGCTAATTTCCCTTCCTGCTGCACTTACTCTGGGATCTAGAATTTCCCAGCATTGCTTTCTTAGATTGGCATTCCTTCTCCTTGGCTGCATTAGTCTCTGTCCTTTCCAATTGCTCATTTTCCATGTATAGATTTCCCTTATTAGCTCTCAGATATGAGATTTCCCCCATTCATTGCAGTATCTTAGGTAAACTAGATGTTTTCATTTAACCAGTGACTCAGCCCCTCGTGTTCAAGGATGAAGGCTAGAATTACACACATTTGTCACACTGATCTGTTTTAATACAAGGTTTGGCTTTACCCATTATTCATACAATTAGACACTGAAATGTGTTGAATCCATTAAATGTCAATGATACTTTGCCTTTAATAGAGTTATATGAAATTCAGGTTTTGAGTGGAAAAGTAGAGCATTATACGAAAATACATGCCTTAGTGTTAATTATATGTGAAAGCAATAATACCTATTGGTTGACTCAGAAGACACAGAATCTGCCTTAAAGCCATGATAACTGAAATGAAAAACAGAAGGTCAGCCTACCTCCCAAGGGATTTCTCTGCGGAGCTGTTATGACTCTGGCCAATCTTCTTAATATTAAGGTTGAAAATGAATGCAGTGTTTAAAAAAAAAGGTGCCATGAAAACAGCCCTGAAGACTTACCTGTCCTGTGCATGTCACCTGTGGCTTGTTCATTTGGAAAGTCAGAAGAAAACGTTTCCCTCGGAAGGCCAAGTTCTACCGTATTCAGTTAAACCCTAACCTGTATTCGTGGGTGAAAAGCAATGCTGTTTCTGGGAAGGGTGAAAAATTCCTTAACATCTGTGCAATTAAGTGTGTGCGTGTTAGGTGAATTTTTAAAATTCATGATGAAAAGAATCTAGATATTTCCCCCGAATACCAGAATTCCATCAGTTTCTTAATTTAATTCTTCATTGTGGTTCTTTTGTTTAGTATGGAGGGAGAAATGTCCCAGCTCATATGGCACAATTTTGCTGGTCTGCAAGCCAAAAA